TATGGGTTGGCCTAGAGAGGGCAGATGGTCATTCCCCTGCATTAACACCGATTACACTGGTGTGTAATCGTAGTAATATAAAAATGCGGAAAGTATATATAACGCGGAAATGTAAAAATGTCCCAAACCACCGTAATGGTATGGCTCACAGAGTCAGTCTAAACAGATGGGTCCATATAAAAAAGACATGCCAATGTAATTCGGTTCACTTGGTAGGTAAAAGTCCAGGGGGAACTTAAACTTAAATTATGGAAATTAGTAATTATCACTATTTCATTTCTGAACCACTTCTCCAATTACCTTGGAATTTTCACAGATATTTGTTTACATTTATGTCCTCAAAACTCATTCTGGATAAGTATTTACCGCGTTATGTGATCATTGAGGTCTTCGTAATACAAATATGAGCATTTAAGTAAAAAAAAACGAAATTACTTAAAGGGGCATGTTTTTAATTTGGATTTATCTTGAAGTAACTATGCCTAAAAGATTATAATTACAATAGAAAACAAAAGAATGCCACTCCCTTGCTGATAAAAATCAAGTGCAATCCCAGGGTTTGAAATGTCAATTTCTGAAATTACGAGAATGGGCAATATCAAATAAATTCCTGGAATAAATTGTCTTGCTAATAGCTCAATATTTCGGTCAAAGTTCAAATCAACAACCAGATGTATTTAATTTCTGAGAATAACTCTCCTAACTTTTGCCCAAAATTCGCCAAAAATTACATGATTTTTGTTTTGAAATTTTCGGGAACAAAATTTGAGTTTGACACATTTAAGGCTTTCAGAAAATGTATAACATCATTGGAAAATGTCACTTTTGCTCTTATATTGAATTGTTTTAAAACATTTTCCCTTTTCTTCATGTATATCAACCCCTTAAACAGAACTAGTAAAATAAAAAGCATTAATGAACTATATAGTAATTAATTTCGTCATCCTGTGTGAGATCCAGTTTCCAATCTGCACAATATTACTACTTTATAGTTTATTGCTAGACCATCATGGTGGTTACTTTGATATATTCATGAAACTGGCATGTGTGTAATGTAACCAGTAGGGCCCTCTATACATTCTTTATGATATAAAAAATGCTCTGAAAAATGAGTCTGATTAACCCAGCTATAGCCACCCACAGACTTGTACACTGACTGAAGTATCATCATTTCATGTTTCAAACTGATTAATATATATCTGCTATACCTGAATGGTTTGGAACCATCATTTTGTTTCCTGTTGGCCCCATAAACATGGCACTGTCGTGTAGCTCCCTAAAAGCTAAAGTAAAGAACTCTCTTGTGGGGCCTCCTTCATCTACGGCACCTTCAGATTTACCCTGATCATCCATAAATTTCACTGATAGAGGTCGATCTGGCTCGAAACTTGATCTCAATATTGCCCTTCTTGCTCCTTTAATAACATTCCCTCTTATAACATTAATAGGTACTGCTTCTTTACTGATATCCACCTTTGACATTATGTTTGGAATAACTCCAATATCCCTAAAGAGAAATCAAAGATAAAAATGAAATCTTACATCAAGACCATCGTTCAGAAAGTTTGATATTTAATGAAGACAGTTGATTTTATGAAAGGAAACTGCAATTCTTATTGCGGACAGATTAAATTCCCAATGACTTTGTGCATTATTATTGAAGTTTTACTTACATAACAGTATTGCAACATGCTGTAGTTCAGCAAAATCCTCTTCAGAATCGAAATATAGCATGAGTTCAGCATATTCTCTGTCAAAATAGACATATCATTCAAATCCACAAGGGGTTCTCAAGATGAATTATTTCATAACAAAACACATTTGCTAGTCAATAAAGTTGACACATGGTTGTTGCTAATGTCTACACCATGTTTAGTTGCATTTAGACCAATGTGTTCACAAGTTTATTAACCAACAATCAGCCTATCGACTGAGATAGCTCCGCTGTTAGCAATGCACATTTCAATTAAAGAACTGACGATATCATTAGAAAATGAACAATATGTATAGTATCAAAGCAATCGGACTGTTGTGAACAAGAAGTCGAAAATCACTTTTTACCAAAAATGACACAAATATTCATCAAAATTAAATAATTGAAGATATCATCATGAAATGAACAAATCTAAGCGAGGTCTAACCAAGGTACATAAACACCAAGTATCAAAGCATTCCAAGAAGAAGTCGAAAAAGTGAAAAGTTGACACGGACGACGGACGATATGCAAATGAGCTTGCTAACTCGGTTGCAACTGAAAACAAATTTATGTGTATATATAACTTATGGTGTTTTGTCTCTGTTTCCTAAATGTGACAATGATTGACAAAATGACAGACAGCTGGCCCTTGAACCACCATTTCCTTAGTGGGCTCAGCTGAGTGGGCTTTATGTAAATAGTGCATTGGCATGCAAGGAATTACACCAAGTTCCACTGATTACATGTATTCATCATATAGTAGATACATGGCACATTACATAATTTAGATAACAGGTCTCATGATATTAGAGCAACAAATTAAAAACATTGACATCGTTCAAACACCTATTTTAATACGCATGACATTGAACCAGAAACAGGTAGTGCTTATGTAGTAGGTGTGTGTCAAATTTCATTATAATTGGACAAAGAGACGTTGTGTTACCGATCAGCTAATTAATATGCATGAAATTGCACTAAAATCTATTCAGTACATTGTCGTAGCCTGTGGTAAGGCAGAGATGAAACAAACCAAAGTTTGCAGGAACAATCGATAGACTTTACTTTATTCAAAACATGGCTTCACCAACCGACAGGTACAATGCGCATGTGTGAACTACAAGCGCGGGAAATATGCTAATAAGACCAATATACTACATTCCTCTACCCTTAGCTAAAAATTACATTTTGTTTCACAAAAATAATTTTTATAACACCATACAGAAGTAAATGCTTAACGCTAAATTTTAACAAGACTGTATGTATAACAAGCACATACAAAACAAGTACATTAACATTTCTTTAAATGCAACTACTTTTAGTATCTGTCAATACAAAATCTTTAAATCTTTCTGGTATTTTTATCTCTCTTCTTGGTCTACTCACTGCAATACTATCTTTCTCAACGTTACCCCTTTCACTACTGGGTGTAACATGTACAGAAACAGGATTAGAGTTTTCTACAGTATTGTTTTCAATAACAGGTTTATGACTAGTAGAAATAGCACTTGTACTAGTAATATCACTCGGTGAAACTTTAAGATCTTCCACTGATTGTACAGGATTTGAACTATTAGTATTTGATAATTCAATTGAAGTTGACTCAAAATGTTTAGAACCAATATGATCAATATGGCGACGAACCCATCGACCATCAGACAATTTCACTGTGTAAGATACAGGACCCGACTTAGATTCTATTTTTCCCTTAACCCAAGGACTACCATAACCATAACTTCGAGTCCAAACTGTATCACCAATGGAACATTGTCTCTCTTTAACATTTTGATCATGGAAAACTTTCATTTTCCTTTGAGATTCAACAATTTTTTTATTAAACTGTGGGTGTACAGAATCAAGACGAGACCTAAGCTTACGCTTCATTAAAAGTTCAGCGGGTGAAACTTGGGTTCTCGAATGTGGAATGATTCTATAGCGAAATAAAATCTCAGCTAATCTCTCGTCAATAGTACCGTCTTTAACTCTATTAAGACCATCTTTAACAATTTCAACGGCTCTTTCAGCCAAACCATTGGATGAAGGATGGTATGGTGCTACTAAGATTTGTGTAATACCATTTACATTAAGAAAATGTGAAAATTCATCACTAGTAAAATTACTCCCATTATCTGATGCTAAAATTTCAGGAATGCCTAAAGTAGCAAACACTTGTTTCAATTTCAAAATTGTGGCAGCTGAAGTGATGGAGGTCATTCTGTGAGCCTCGATCCACTTAGAATACGCATCAACTATTATTAAAAGATTATATTTTTCATACTCAGCATAATCAATATGAACACGAGTCCAAGGTTTATTAGGAACTTCCCAAGGATGTAATGGAGCTTTTGCTGGAGATTTCTGATTTTGTTGACAAACATCACAACATCTAACTTTATTTTCAATTTCCGCATCCATGGATGGCCACCAAACATAACTACGGGCTAAACCTTTCATACGGTTCATTCCAGGATGTGCTACATGTAGCTCCCTGAGAAGTTCTGTTCTACCTTGTGGTGGAATTACCACACGTGTACCCCAAACAATACATCCATCAACTACAGTAAGCTCATTACGAATTCTGAAAAATGGCCTGTAGCTCTCATTTGGAGGTTTTTCTGGCCAACCACGTAATACAAATTCACGGACATGAGCTAACAAAGGATCACGACTTGTCCAAAACTTTACATCATCAGAAGTAAATGGTGACGAGTCTAACTCGTCCAACATCAAACACATGTGTTCCTCATAATTACACTTTATGTTAGAAATGGGTACTCTACTTAACGAATCAGCATTACCATGGGATTTCCCAGGCTTGTACTCAATAGTATACTCGTATGCTTTTAATATTAAAGACCATCTAGTCATTCGGGCAGACAAGGTAGTTGGCATAGCTTTCAGTTCACTGAAAAGACCCAACAATGGTTTATGATCTGTGACAATAGTAAATTTCTTGCCCAGCAAATATTTGTGAAATTTACGTACACCAAATAGAATAGCACATGCCTCTTTTTCAATATGAGCATAATTACGTTCAGCATTATTTAAAGTTCTGGATGCAAATGAAATTGGTTTCTCACTACCATCTTTGTATTTGTGAGACAGAACAACACCAAGACCAAACGGAGATGCATCACAACTCAGTACTAAATCTTCCTGAGGGTTAAAATGTACTAACAACTGATGTGACTGAAGAAGTTGTTTTGCTCCTTCAAACGAATTGTCATGACTTGGACCCCAGTGCCACTTTACATTTTTTTTTAATAACAAAGGTAATGGTCCTAACACTGTCGAAAGATTAGGTAAAAACCTATGATAATAATTCAAAAGACCTAAA